TTCAATCTGTTTTCAAAAGATGCGCAATTTAATTCTCTAAAAAGCTGATGTTGGCTGTATTTTGCAGTAATGAAATCCTAAATTTCTGGAGGTCAAATACTTCGATGGAATTATGTTCAACCCTTCCGGCTGAATTTCGGGAATGAAAATTTTCTGGATTTAGTCATTGGTGTTCTGTTCTCATTTGATTATGAACAACACAATGTAGAGACTCTCATAGAATCGTCTATAACTCAGGATAGGGGGAATTTTGTTATAAAACAATCGAACGATGCTGATCTTTTATTCAAACAACTTGTTGATGACTATTTTGATGGAATTGGATATTGTTCACTTTAAGATGTTTTATGTGAAATGGATGTTTTTGATTTCTACTGTCCGCAGTTTTTGCATAAATTAGATGACCTATTAACCAATGGCTTGGAGGAAGAAGAAACGCAACTAGAACAACAAGTTGAAAAGTTTAACGTTTCTCCACTTGAATTTCTTCATGTGTTACAATCTACAGTTGAATTAAGTATCAATACAATAGAAACTAACACTACTGTGTGCCGAGTGTGCTGAGATATAGCCATAATGAGAAACTCTATCTTTCTACCGATATAAAAGTTATCGTAGTTATTCCAACTTATAAGTTGGTGGAATATTGTGCAATACTATCCATAAATATTAATTAACCATAGAAGATATTACGCTCCTCTGACGAGAATTTTATATCTTTCCATTAGTGCGACAGCTAAATGTGTCTCGGAATGTGCATAATTCTCACGGAACAGAGCATTACTCTCACCGTGGAGAGCATATTTCTCGTATAGATGCATTATTTCCGTGACCTGGGCAAAAACGTTTTTAATAAGCGATACAAAATTCTCATGAAAAGAGCATAATATCTTCTGGATTCTATGCATAATTTTCACAGAAAACGGTATAATTCTCGTGTAAAAGCATTATTCTCGTGATCTGGACAAGAAGGTGAGAATCAGATACACAAAAAAAAGCTTTTTTTTAGGTCACGAGAATAATGCTTTTACACGAGCATTATACTGCATTGTGTAAGAATTATGCATAGAATCTGCGAGGTATTATGCTCTCTTCAGGAGAATTATGCTGTTCTGTGTGAGAATTGCACGCACCGATGAGAGCACATTACTCTTGTAAATGCATTATTTCCGTGACGTTGAGAAAAAAGTTGTAAAATATCATAATATCTGCTACATTGTGCATAAGTCTCACACAATGCAACATAATTCTCGTACATGGATGCCGTAAATGGCAAAAGTGATATATCGCAGGTTTTTCGACACTTAGAAGTAACTTGTTAGTTTCTTAGGAAAATTCTCGTTGCACGAACATAATTTCGATTTGACGATTCTCTCCCACTGCTGAAAACAGCGACAAGTGTCAAGTAATAAGGATAGCAGATACACCTCCACTAAAATCATATTCATATTCCGCATATCATATAACATAAAACATTATATTTTATACCAATTCAAAAGTATAGTACCATCTTTATCTTTAGGTTTGCATCGAAATAAGATTTATTATCCGGAGGATTTTACCATAACTTATTTTGATGATGGATTACATAGCTTCTGTTTCCATGACATGTATGCACAATTAAATTCTATAGTTAACAATGTGATAATATTTGATAATATTGAAAAATGTTCAAATTACATACGTCTGAAATTTCGTCTATCAACGAATCATCCTGACATAGTTCAACTTTATTCGACGATTGGTTTCTGTCTATTTCAGGAACAAGAATATGATAAAGCCTTGATATATCTAGAGAAAACAATTATGAACACAAAAGAATACAATTCATTAGCGATAAACTACAGTTATATTGGTTCGATTTATTCGAGAAAAAAGGATTCCGTAAAAGCATTAACATACTTTGAATGGTCATTAGAAATGCAACTTATGGCATCACCATTATGTCATGAGTCATTAACAACCCGTTATAATAATCTTGGAACAATCTATTTTAACCGACAAAATTATGACAATGCATTAGAGTATTACGAAAAAGCTCATGAAATAATGGAGTCAGGAGCAACCTGTCATAATATTGGTAGAATATACGCAGTCAAAGATGAACCAGATAAAGCTTTAAAAGAGTGTACAAAAGCACCGGAATTATTGTTAAAGAAACCATCATCAATGAACAACAATTTACACATGGCAAACGTATATTTTAGTATTGGTCAAATTAACAAAAACAAGCAAGATTATTCTATGGCCTTGTTTAATTATGAAAAAGCATTTGAAATTGGCGTGAAACATTTAAGGTTTAATGACATTGATCTGATTAGGTATGGAATTCACATGCAAAATACGAAACAAAAACTTATGGACTGTTCAAACTAAACTTATATGATTTATATACGTTGCAATTACAAAAAGTACAGTATTCATTTTACTTTTATAAGTCTTACGTTATTTAATTGTTCTTTTCAATTAATTTTTCTAATTAAGTTTTTCGATAAATAAAAAATATAATAACATTCAAGATGTATTTCTTCTAGGAGAGTTTAATAGGCACTGCACGAAGTGGTGTCCTGCACTGTAAAGTCGGAAATTATTCATAGAAAATGCTCAGCGATTTTCAAAAAGTCCATATATGAAATCCTCACGGATTTTCAGATTATAGAAAATCGAAAAAACAAAAAACAAAATTTTCTAGATGATGAGGAAGAACAATTTGAATGCGAATGCTGATAATCACAGACTTGCAAAGTGAAAATGGCTGAAGATAAACTTTTTCACCGTTATTAATTGGTTCCAAAAATGTAGTTGGTTATTAAAAGCTATTGAACTTCGAAGTTGAATGGTGTGCGTTATTTCAGCTTTATTAGATGACAATATGGATCTTTTACTAATGGAAATCAAATTCGACATCGATCACGTGTTGAACGACTACATTTTAATAGAACCAACTACATTTTTGGAAGATGCTAAATTGAGACGTTTAAATGAGGAATATTAGCAAGAGCGAATCGCTCTGCGATGGTCAGAAAGTTGCGGTAGAACTCGGCTTTGTCTTAATTAGGCCTAAACCAGGAACCTTTTTAGTACCTCTTTGTGATCTCTAAATGTCATGCAACAATAATACTTCTCGAAGAATATGTTGATTTCTAAAAACTGAGAAAACTTTCCGAATCTGCCAGCATTTTCGATGTTAAATATCAAAACCAGCAAAGATCTGTTACAGGACCACTTGTTGCAATGTAGGCTTTAATAGATGTGAAAGAAGCAAGAAAAAAAATCGCCGATTCGTTGTTTTAGAAAATCGCTGTCAATTTCCCAACTTTTAGAAATTCTTTATCGATTTTCTGACAAATGAGAAAGATCAATTCATAGAAAAGTGGAAAATCAACATTTTCTAAACAGTCAGAAAATCGCTGAGGATTTTATAAATCCTTGGCGATTTTTCAGATCGATTTTCTATAAAGTAGAAAATAGTTCCAACTTACAGTGTACAAGATCTTCAACATGGCCCGAAGGCGATCTTCCGTTCCATTTTGTGGTTCATAACAATTTACATCAACTTGTTTAATGAAATCACTCGTCCGGCATCTAAAACGCTTCTTGGCTTAGTTGTGTGTAATTCTCTCTGTATGATAAATGACTATCAGGCGCTTACACCTCTGACTAATAAAAACTATCATAAAATACTTTCTGTGCATTTGAATATGAAAATAGGTCTAATTCAAACTAGGTAGAAACTCATATAAAAAATATACATAAACAGATGTACGTGATCTGAAAAAAGAGATATTTGAGATTACTGTTGAACCAATACCCGGGTAAATTTATTGATGAAAACATTGATCGACTAATGAAAGATATGCGATTGCAAAATTTAGAATCTGTTTATGAAACACAAGTGAAATACGAATATTGCAGGGCAAAAGTTCGGGAAGTCAACTGGAACCGCCCCAACAAGCATAGTAAAAAGACAGTAGACCCTAAAAACGATTTATTAATCTAAAAAGGCTAATTTGTAATTTGTGCGCGCCAGTAACATGAGGAAATCTTCTAAAAAATGTAATATATAATAAAAACATTCACTTATTTGACATATCAAATAATTGTTTCCTTAACCAATGTCATACCACCAATCGAATTAATATTTTGCTCAGCCGTTTTAGATAAATTTGATGATTTTTTATCTTTCCAGTTTATCTGCGTCATTTCATCTTCGTTAAAGTTTGAAATTGTTACCACCTGTTCCCGAAGATAACGGGTTATGCATAAGTTTTGCAACAAATGTCGAGCGCTGTTTCTCTATGCTCCTTTTGTTCTAAAGACTTTGCTTTCTTTTTGTTTGAAACAGCAAAGTCTAAACTACAAAAAGTGTATCAAATAAAATTTTCTCTCATCAAACTTCATTGAGAAACAATTCAAAAACTATACATCACTAAAAATAGTCTGATTAAGTTTTACTAAAACATATGAAGAAAAGTTTTTCACTGATGTCAAAAATAATAACTTTTTGCTGAAATCAAATACACGAAAAAATAGCCCGTGAAAAATTCTATGGATCTGATCTCCAGAGAGGAGATCAGAGAGTTTTCAAGTTACTTTTTTGTGGTTTTCTGAAACGCTTTCTAAAAGTCAGATGTTCTGGAAATAGAGATTTTGCGTGTAACAATTGAAGACTTCAGCAAAATCGTCAGATAAAATACGAAGTGAATGATATTAGTTTTTGTTTTACATCAGATTGTAGAAAATTGAATGAAGATCATTTTACAGTTCAAAAACTGGAAAAAAGTTCATTTGTTAATTGAATAAAAGAAAAATGTATTGCCCACCATTCGAAAGAACGTTTCAAATATTCTCAGATGTAATAATCAGTCATCTTTCAAGCTTATCCTTAAACCAGAAAGAACCGCTCCGAAGAAGATAGAGAGCGGACATTTTGACGATTTACCAGTACATTTTTAGTGATGTTTAGTTTTTAAATTTTTTTTCAATGAGGCGTTGCGAGCGATATTTTATTTGATACGCGTTTTGTAGTTCAAACTTTGCTCTTTCAAACAAAAAGAAAGTGCAAGCTATAGAATAGTAGGAGCATATAGAAACAGCGCTCGACTTTTGTTGCAAAACTTATGCATAACCCGTTAACAAACAATTTCAAAACTGCCTACCGTTCCGTCTTTTTCTTTCCGATCAAATTGTTTGAGAAAAACAGAGAAGGAGAGAAGAAAACTTGCTTATCTAAATTTTATTTAAATTTTTTCGCAGGAGTCTAACTGACACAGATAAACTGGATAGATCAAAAACCATGCGTCATTAGAAACAAACAAAGCTTTTTTGTTGCTTTGCTAACTGAGATATTATATAAAACAACAGCAACAACTTGACATCCACAGACAGTAAACTATGACGGCAACAGCAACCAAACCACCGTTCGAACTTCTCGAAGTCGCTCAGAATGTTAATGGCAGTGAGCTGCGCGTGGCCTATCGACTTTATTTATTATCAATGATAAGGTTATTCAAAAAATTTACAAAGTGTAGTCGTTTTATTAATAGATTTCTAAGAAACCAAAAGTTGTTTAAAAGGACAGGGTTAGAAACAATTCACTAAACAACAAGATTTTCTATTTGTACGTTAGTCAAGAAGCCACAAAATACACTGCTTTTTCTAAAATCGATAGTAGAAAACGAAATAAAAAACTAAAAGGAGTAAACAAGTAAAAGTAGTAAATAACTAAGAGGCATAGTCAAACATCTGTCACTATAACTTTTTTACACCGGATCTAGGGACTTTCTCTCATCTCTGGCTCGAGCTGCAAATTGTGCTGTCATGAACAACAAAAATGCGTATACCTTAAATGCTCGGAAAGGCGCTCTATCGGTTCTGTTACGTATCCGAATTTACTGAATGAAACGCCCCCGGGCGTTATTTTTAAATGAGAGCGAAAGTTTTGTCAAAAAGATCGAATAACACATCACTAAACGCAGTTTTTAGGTTGAGCATTAACGTACCACGTTAACTTTTGATGAAAAAGCTGTCTTATCGGCAAAAAAACTTGTTTTAATATTCAAACACGCGGTTTGAATATCAAAACCAGTTGTATCTGTGAGTATATCAGCATGGCTAACGTCTTAGTCACACTTAACTCCACCATGCAGTAATCGCAATAAACTTTGATATTATCTAATGTTTTCTGTGCAAAACACTTCAACAGTAAACACGCTTCTCGAAAAGATAAACCGTATGGAACAGAAAAAAGAGCGGAATGGCTATTACCACTTACCGTTGTGTTAACTAGAAGCTATTACCATCATCGGGAGGTATCAATTTGAGCTATTGATACCACCAAGGTAATACTTAGTGTAAAAGTGTCAAATACGGCTATTGGCACCATCAATCCTAAAATGATTCAGGTGGTGTCAATTAGAGCTATTGACATTACTAGACAAGTTGAAGACTTCTTCTGCTTGGAGACCAAGTTTAACCCATGTAGAGTGTTCCGGCGTCGGGGAAAGTTTTACGGCTACCGGTTCAGCCATTTTCGAGAAAACTAAGTACAAAGTGAGCGGTAGAACTGGAAAACTCCAAAATGCCGTGAATGCTATGGGCTCCACACCAAGATTTGCTAATGTTTTAATGAGAGAGTATTACTTAGACGTGAACGCCTTTTAGATTGGGGCGTGTTTCGACTCTATTGACACAGACATTTATCTAGTAGTGTTACGCTATTGATGGAATAACTTGCATAGTTAACATGACATTGTATGGCACTATTGAGAAAAGCGGTTAGACAGCGAAATTCGATTTCGATCAGACAAGGTCAGAAATGGAGAACTGTGGAGGACAGTTCGAAGTATATGTCCCAACAAAGCTTTCGGTTCCCGGATTTATAGTTTTTGATAAAAAAAAATTTTAAGTTTTTTCGGGTTTTTTGCCCTATTTTTAAAACTTCAATAAAAACTTCATGTTTTGATATGAAGAGTTGATTCTAGCGTAGTTCGATAGAGAACATTAATTTGTATACGGAGAAACCCTTTTCATCCTTGCCGAATGAAGTTTGTCGCAGAAATTTAGTGTTCGCCTTCCCGAGGAAACTTCAGAGCTAAAAGTAGTTTGCACCTCGCGTTACGGCTAGTTTCGCTCGAAGCAAGCATTTCGAAGCAAAATTCTGAATGCAAAAGTTGTTCAGAATCGAATTTTGGAGTACCTGACGGGAGGTTCTTTTTAAAATTTTTTGTTTTTCATTTTTAAATTAAAAAATACGAAATTTTAAAATTTTAAAAACCCTAAAATTTAATTTAAAAGTCAGAAACAGAAAATTTAAAAAAAAGAAACTAAGGTTAGGTAAAAAAATCTTCGGTGAGCCAAAAACCAGCGATATTTTCAAGTTTGAATTTTTTCTTCAAGCCCTCCCGGTTTGTAGAGGGCGCTTCGAAGTGTATGCTCGGAAGTTTTTTCGGCTTAATGAGATTATTTGGCTGAGAAAAAAGTTAATTACTTAAACAATATTGTTAAATTTTCGACATATCAGACATACCGAGCGACCAAACACGAATTCTAATATGTTTAAGGTAGTCCATATTGTAGCCCGTGAAAGTCTCTGTCAGATGAGGTATTGCTTGAATTTTTTCGTTGCGTTGCTATTTTACAAATAGGACTTTATGCTAGTAGAGTAGGCTAAATTAACTTTAATTATTACTGATTAGTCAATACCAGGAAGGAAAGAACAAAAATTCTTGCATATTTTCTCATAATAAATGTTCTCCACACATTTCTCTATCGATCTAGGCAAGAACCAAGCTTTTGTGATGAATGGAGGATGGACAGGAATTTTTTTAATAATAATCCCTTGTTCCAAAATTTAACAATATTTTTTAAGTAATTAATTTTTTTCTCAGCCAAACAATGTCAGTAAGCCAAAAAAACTTCAGGACATATACTTCGAAGTGTCCTCTACAAACCGGGAACGGTAGAGAAAAATCTAAATGCGGGAATCCCCTTAAAACCTTTACCGTACGGAGTTCCAGAATTTTTAAGAAGAAATATGAAAAAAACCGCCAGATTCGACGGAGTTTTCTAAATAAATATAATTGGTAGCTGAAAAAATGCAAAAATCGGGGAGCAATTTCTATTCGTCCTGGAATAAGCCTCAAAACCGAAGTGCATGATGCATGTTTCAAAGATGTTTTGAATTTCTTTTTCACAATAAATGTTCTCCCTTAAAAATGCTTGAAAACAACTTTTTCTCACTTAGATTTGATATCTAATCACACTACAGCTTAAAAAACAATTTCTTCGGCTGACGTAATTTGAAAGAGCACATTCCCGACATATTTTTGAAAAGTTGTTCAATAAAAAGCTTTCTCTACAGTATCTAAAAAATTAGACTGAAACATTAAATATTTTCCCAAGTATTCTTCATTTTAAAATTTAAATATCTCGGCTAGATAAAACATAAACAAAATATTTTTTATCATTCGATAGCCAATTTAATTGTCTACAAACGAAATAAGATTAGATTTTTTAAACAATGTTTCCTCAGTTTTGTATAACGATAATGCCAATGTCAATTCAAATGGACATTGGGCCTTAAAGAATTAATTAATTAATTAAAGAATTAATCTAACTTAACCAAAATAATCTTAAAAGTCATGCAAATGCTATTAACATAGAATAATTGAGAGAACGAGAGCCAGTGGTGGTCCATGAACAACTGATCCTTAGAAGTATCTCTCATAGCACCACTAACAGTGAAACAGATCTGATACTGACAACTCTCTAATTTTAGAATATTTTGTTACGTAGTCAATGAATAAATTTCACTGCCATGGTTGAGTGGAGATTGAATAAAAGGTTTATATAAGCATTCAAATGCTAAATGGTTGAGATTAAATTTGAGAAGTCTCATGCAGTTGTGAATGAAAGTTACTTTTTCGATTACTTAGTCAACATGAGAATCCCACGATAGATTAGAGACGAGAAATAGATCTAGGTGTTTATCATGAGTAACTTCACTGACGAGGTTGTTCTGAATTAATAACGGTGAATGGTATGAATTTAATGTTGTTGCACGTTTATGAAATAACTAGGCCAGTTGTACCTCGACTATAAACTGATTTATAGTGGCGGTACCATTTATAAATGATTGCAGATGAATCTCTAATAACTCCCACATCTGTTGTTAGTCTTTTGATAGGTGGTGTTGATGACTGAAAGTGTCGCGATGTAAATCAGCAGAAATGATTATTCTCATTTGTTTTATATGTTTTCAAGAAATTTTCCCATTGTACGGATCGATCTTCGCAAATTGACATTGTATTTTATATGCATTAAGGGTAGTATCGGATAGTATCTGTTGCACAATACGTAAAGATCTATAATCTGCTCATAGATCCAAGACGGAAATATCGAGGTATTTACACAACATTTGAAGAGACAACTATTAGTTTGCTCGTCTTCACCTATTTCAGACTGTATATTACAACTACAATTACCTGAGCTGAGAATTGTGCTGGTTTAATAATCGTAATCAGAAAAAGTTCATTCAAAGTCCAAACAAACAGAAGAAACAAAATAAGAAAATGTTTTTATAATATTAGGCTGGTTTCCATTCATAATGATGTTTTCCTTTTTTAACTTCCATTGAATGTTCACTTTTCAAATCGTAGTTATGTGAACCGAAATAATCTAATTCAGCTTCCATAAATGCTGTAGACAGATTTGAATTCGAACAATATTTAAAATATTCAAGACTGGCTGACATGGCTGGAATATTGGCACCGGCTTCCAAAGCTTTGATTGTTACATGTTTTAATGATGAATAATTAGCATGAACTTCATGTGCATATTTTTCTTGATATAATATATTTTTAATTGGTTCTTTTGAATTTTCATAAATTGGCTGAAGTAAATTAACAATATAATCACTTTGAATAATACCTAGTTTGAAAAAAAGCTCTTTTAATCAAGTGCCAGGTAATCTTTGCGAAATTTTCGAAGATTCTTTTGAAGACTTCAAAACTCTCACCAGGAGACAATATCAAAAAAGGTCAACAGATTTTTGCGATACCGACAGCATTTTTGAAGAACATGAACAATGTAGATGAAGGCGTCAGAAAGACACCAGCAAACATTAGAAAAATGCAAATACTCACATCCCTTTCGCCAAATTCGTAGACATTCGCTTATTTTAACATTCCATTTTTCTTTTTCACTTGCCGTTGCAATTATATTTAAACCTTGAGCAAACGAAGCTAACATTGACACATAAACTGCTTTTCTTAATTTTTCAACAAATCCATCCTTTTTTGAAATTAATTCAGCTGATTTCTGTGGTTTTTCCAGTGAAACAATTTTTTCAAATTTAATACGATCCAGACGATTTGACGATGCAATTCGAAAGAGATGAGCAGTAACAATAGTTGGAGCTGAAACATGTTGTGTAGCAGCTTCTTTAGCACTCCAAACACCAGTTCCTTCTGTATCGTCAGCATCTTGAACGACTTTATCTTCAACATCATCCAAAATATGCTTCTGACTACCTTCACCTTCTTTATAGTGACGTGTACAGATATCGGCGGCAATTCGAATGAGAAAATTATTAACAAGTTCGTCTTTTGAGTTCCATCCAGCAAAAATTTTTCCGATTTCGTCATTTGATATGGCGAGAACAGTGTGCAGGATACCCCATGCTTCGCATAAAATTGACATCATACCCTGTAAAATGTAAAAAAGTTCATGTAATCAGTTTTTCGAAAATGAATATTTTCTGCTGATAACTATGTAAATTCCAAATATTAGACATCGTAGGTCACGGTTTTAGTCTTATAAAGCTACAAGAGACAAGGGTCAGTTTTTGAGACTCGATCCGAGCCTTTTTGTCGAGCTCCGGTATTGTCATTTTTTAGAGTGACGCGAGATTCCATGGTCCGGAAAATGTGCATCTAGGCGGACATTCGGCCAAAACTCGAAAGTTCACTCTTTCCGAATCTAGAGAAGGGAAAATATACTTCCATACATGTCTTGTCTATTGTCGTAAAAATTTCTGTTCTAGGTGTTTACTAACGAAGAAAGCACCTATAATCAGCGTCAAAATATAAGCCCGGTAGCTAAGCCGAGTTTCAGATAACTCCAAAACGATAAAAGAAAGAAACTTGTGATTTTCAGCAATCGAAAGAGGACACTTTAACCAATATTTTCACTAGCAAAGTCGC